TTTTTTTTTTTTTTGCTGAGAACTCCTGTCTCCGTAGAGGAATGAACCTATTAAAAAAAAATACACACACATATGTGTGTGAGTATATGTGTGTGTGTGTACAAACACACACACACATACGTACATACATATTTACATATATATATTTATATATACGTATAATATATATATCTTTCCAAATCAAATTTCTGGGGAAAAAAAGCCTCTCTGTATTTCTGACGAATAGAAAAGTTTGCTATGCCATACTCTCATTATATTCGAACATTTTGATATACGTTAATTAAAACCAAAAAAGCAAACAAATAAATAGCCGTCGGGCACGAAAAGGGGCTTGAGGGGAGATGTCGTTAACCGTCTAAAGAAGGGCAAAATAATTCCTTTGCAGCCTTTGCATCAGAAAGTGCGGGAGAAACCAAACGGATAGCAGAACTGGTTAAGTTAACAGATCTTGTGGAATGGGCTTGGCAGAGATTTGTTGTGCTTGAGAGGTCGGGGGAAGACTTATCCATTAGCACAGTGTTATGTGAAATGACATCTTCTCTCACGGTGAGTTAAACGCTGCATTATGGCGAGAGATTGCGAGGAAATTTAAGGTAGAACTAATCTCATTTCCTGGTGCACCGCAGCCCTTTTAGCTAAAACAGATTTGTTTGCAAAATAAACCATCCAGCGCTAAGGCTAAAAAATCTCTCTCTCCGTCTCTCTCCTTCCCGCTCTCCTTCTTTCTTTCTATTTATCTATTTATTTCTTTCTCCCTGTGTTCGTCATATATTTTTGGAAGGTATATAGAGTCGGTCAATGCAAATGGGATGGTAGAGGGTTATTCGCGTCTGCTGCGTGTAAGATACACGTTCACTCCTATGGAAAAATAGCATTTTAGAACTGCGATTGTTTCTCCCTCTTAGTTAAATCAAATCAAATAATTTTTAAAAGGAGAACTTTGAGGGTGGAAAAAAAAAATCTATCTCAGATATTGAGGGAAAAACGCACAAGCCCCGTCTCTAAAGGGTACCATTATCAAATGAGTGCATTTTGGGGAGATGTGAGCCAAGCAGATCGTGGTGCTTTCAAATCTGGTGTTCAAGGAGGCTGGTTTTCCTAATTTAACTAGACATCAGACGTGGGAGAAACCACTAAGGGTTTGAGAGACTCCCTCCATTAACCAAAGTCATGGAAAATCGATATCTTCTGCAGGAATTTCTAGGGAAAAAAAAAGGCAAGAAAAAAATCACTGCTAGAGCTCTGATCCCCCAGCTGTTCCTGAAAATACTTCAATACCAATCACTGCCAAACGATCTCCGGACCCACTGCTCCCCACCAGGAGAGAGAGAGAGGAAAAAAAATGTAATGCCCTAAAAGCGGAGACTGGGACCCGGGCTAACCACATAGGTTCCACTTGGCCGAGGGGAGCGGAGCTCCCTGGCTGTGCTCCCGTAGGGATCCTGTGCTCCTGTATTTCTGCCTGGCGAAGATGGCAGGACTCTGCCCGGGCGCCAGCGTTTAGACAAGATGGGGACTCAGGAGGAGGCAGGGCGCGGGAGCTCAGCTCCTGCTCCGGTCGTGGCAGGCCCCCATCGTTTATCCATCCTCCTCAGAACGAGTTCGGGAACAGCGGACCCAGCCACGGGCTCGTTTCATCGCCTTGTCGTTTTGTTGGCAGGGAAGCCAGAGCCTTACAGGTGGGAATAACCACGA